TATGCCCTACTAAAGAGACTGGAATCAAAATTCTCATCGTTGCTAAAAATTAGTACCAAAATATATTGCCAGATATGCAGTTTGTAGCTGGGAAGGATTGGCACATAATGGAACTACTTGATAACACTGGTTTGAGTAGGAAAAAGCTGGCATTTATATGTAAACTCATGGTACCCCATGGAAATCGGTCAAGCTCAGCAGACAATCTTAATAAGGCCTCTGATTTTTTGTCTATGGACTGAGATGGAAGTCATTGCAAATTTTCAGTGGACTAACATGATCCGGGAGGCAGATGCTCTGTAAGGGTAAGCATGTTGCTCTAGGAACACAGATAGGGCTCTTCGTCTGGCCTTCCAGGATCAAGAGGCATCTTGGGAGACATCCAGGAGACAAATATCAAAAGAATAGAGATCAGCTCAAGCCAAGGTCTGGAGGTGAGTGCCAGCATGGAGGGTTCGAGGAGTGGAAAGTCTGGGCTGATCACTAAGGGCCTTATGTAACGTGAGGGAATTTGAATCCTCAGGATTCAATTCAACTGGATCCAGCACAGGATGACACAATTAATGATACGTCTTTTATAAAGATTACTCTGGCTGCTGTGTGGAGGAGGACAAGGAGACATGAAAACCACATAAGGGAATCCAGAGGTGATGAATGCCTGCATTAAGACAGCATGGCAGCGATGAAGAAGAGGTGACAGATTTCTGAGAAATCAGGAAAAACCAACAGGAGTTTTCAATGGACTGGCTGAAGAATAAGAAAAAGGGAAGAGTCTGAGGTGACTTTTACATCCCTGAGCAAGGAGGTGGCAGCAGCAGATAGTAACCAAAGTCATGACAGTGGATGAGATAACCTTGATGGGTAGGCTTATTTTATGACTGTACAGAACAGGACCAGACTCACCAATAGCTCATAGTCCCAACAAAAGACCCCCTCATTCTGCTTTACCTCCAGGGAAGCAAAGAGGCACAGGATGAGTCAGCTCTGTACTCCAGGTAACAGTCACAGGTCTACACACAGTATTGTTTAAGTATCAGGCCTTGGCCAACATGGTGAAACCCCATCTCTACTAATAATACAAAAATTAGCCAAGCATGGTGGCACACACCTGTAATCTCAGCCACTCCGGAGGCTGAGGCAGGAAAATTGCTTGAACCTGGGAGGTGGAGGTTGCAGTCAGCCAAGATCTCACCACTGCACTCCAGCCTGGGTGACAGAGTGAGACTCCGTCTCCAAAGGATAAGATATCAGGCTTTAGAAAAGAAGGTTAGCAGGTGCGTTCTTTTTGTGCATGGATTGGAATTGGATATTTGGGTTTCTAAAAATGAGACTCGGAACTGTTAGATCTCAGTGTACCTCATTCTAGAACAACTTGACTTATGCACATATGGGGTGCAGGGAACATTGTGTCAGACCTGACAGGAGAAAGTTTTTTAAGCAAATATTTCATGTCTCTCTTTTGCAATCCAGGTTCTCTGTGTTCTCTTGCGTAAAGAAGTTAGAAGGGAGACATTGCCATTCTGGCTGTCCTTGGGATTCAGACTTGGTAATGAACTGCAAGTACCCTGGCTGCTGATGCCTGTCTGCCCCCAAGTTTGAGGAGACAGGGGTAGGCTGAGGGCTGGAGTGATGAACAGGCTAGTATGCCTAGAAACCTGCGCACTGATTTTAGGCTTAACGGCCACATTGGAGAAGCTACCTTCAGGAGACTGCAAGGCTGAAATTGTATTAAAATGATACTGTTTGGATCATTGCTGAGAAAAATGACCTGCTAGATTTGAATCAACCAGCTAAAGTTTTTATTAGCATTTTTCACAGTTACGAGTATTGGAAAGGTGAGGGTGGCATATGGTGGCAGGGTGACAAGCAGATGTGCATGTCAAAGTTTTGATCTGGGCTGGACTGTCATCTCCCTTCCTCAAACTGCCGCGAGGCAATTGACTCGTTTGTTGGAATGACAAATGGACATGTAAAAGCTTTTAAAAAACAGCAAGGTGGAGCACCTCCCACCATTCACTCCACACTCAAGCACGCTATATTAGTTTCTAAGACGTCTTGCCAAACAAAAGAAGGAAATTTAAAAAAAAATAAATGAAAGGAGTGGGAATACTCAGAACCAATAAAACCATCGCTAACTAAATAAATGGCTGATGGAGGCAACTCGCTACTGCGTTTAACGGATTTATTTGCTCAGGGTTGAAAAACAGCAAGGTGAAAGAAAAGGTCCCTCACCGATTGTTTATTCTACCCTTGGCTTTGTTAGGACTGTAGTTCAATTTTTTGTATTTCTAATCTCACTGACATACTTCAGGTTTCCAGCCTTTACAGCCAAGGGGACGAGCTAAGGTGCACATCTATTCTACGATGGTTCATCTTTTTGGGATTCTGGGCTATCTCCTTTAAAGCTTGCTGTAGGAGAACTGAGTCAACAAAAGCTCTGTGTGGAACCCAACAAATTGTCGCTACTGGGTCACCGTGTTAATGAGAAAAAAGAGTGAACTTGAAAGTCATGTTTTATTGGTTTCTTTGTTTTGTTTTGTCTGTGTGTTTTTATTTTTTTGGCGCATAGTTTTGCCGGGAAAAGTGTCCAAAATGGCTTTCTCTCCCTTGACTGTCTTGTTAGTGCAGTTGCCCATGATCAGGATTTGCACAACACTAAATGTTCAGTGAATATTTGAAAATCCTTTCTTTCCTGTTTCTGCATCCTGTAACCACAGTAACAAGAATTCTTGGGGTAGTAGGAGGTTTTTTAAGACGGCAAATTATGGTTGAATCGTTAATAAATATTGCAGATGAAGTAGAAATGACTGGCTTTGTGTAATGTGTTCTTCAATGTGCAAATAAATATGTCCTTTTGTGCAAAACCAATTGAGACTAAATATACCGTAGATGGTCACTTTTGCCGCAAAGTTGTTAATTCCTTCCTGCCGCACAGGAGAGGAGAGGATTGGCGAACACCATATTAAGATCAGGTGAGAGAGCCCTCTAGCGGGAGACCATCAGGGCGCTCATTAGGGCCGACACTGGAGCAGAAGACAGCTGAGAAGTCACAGAGGGAATGTTAAATTTAGCCCACGGAGTTGAACTGCACCGTGTAAATAAACACACTGTGACTTGCCATGTCCTCCTGCTGACTTGGAAGATGTTTACTAACAAATATGCCCTGTAGAATTGTCAAGAACTTACTGAGGCATGTCCAAAATTAAAATCATCATTTTAAGGACATGCTACGTTCTTCATAGCCCTCACCTGAAATGCCTGAGCTGGGCAAGGTCGAGGGGCGGGGGATACATTTTGGTAATAAACAGTCTAAATTGGATGAGATGACCCGCCCCTCAATCCCCAAGGGCAAATGAGGGATGGGGTTTTCTCATCATTCCAGTTGCTTTTTTAAAGAAAAGAACGCACCGTTCTCACCCTTGCCTTCCCCAGGGCTCCTCTGGGTTGGGCTGTGAATATTATTGTAATTCGGTGGGTTATCTTCTTATACCTAGAAGGAAAATTACAAAGCACGTTTGTTTCCCTGACCATAATGCATATCTGAGGTAGTAATGCCAAATTCATACAAAAATTTTCTTACCCTCTTAGCTATAGCCGTGATGTTTCTTTAGTCCCTTATTTCTGTCATTCACTATTCATAAATAAATGATAGGAGACTTTAAAAATCTCAAAGCTTTGCAGCTTAAAATGCACTCTTGATATTAATGGTTTATATGGGATTTTTTTAAAGCATATTGTATGGGAAATGCCCTGCCTTTCTAAAATAAATAAATATCTAATAGCTCCAATGACTCATGATTGAGGCTCTTTGCTCACTGCTTTCTTGTTGACCATCATTCGTAAGTCCCTCTCAAGGGTTCAAAAGTGTGTTTCCAGGCAACAAGAATCAGACTGTGAAGTCTGTGTCCTTCAAAGCCTGCATAAGCTTCCTAACCCATGCAGTAGAGGCTGCCAGTGAAGAAGTGGACTCAGCACATTTTAGCCAAAACCACAACTGCCTCTTGTAGTGTGTGACACCAGAGAGCCCATGAGTTTCTAGTCAGCCAACCTGGTTTGTCCTTTTTTAAATAGAAAATGGCAATAGCAAGGATTTATAAATCCTATTGATACTCCAGGGACCTTCTAAGGTCTCAAGTCTTCCTTAAAGGAAGAAACGGCCATTTCTGGACTCTTGGTGGCCTTCCTCTCTGGGGAACTGGCATGGCTGCCCAGTCCTGTGCTGTGCATTGCACAGTGGCTTACCTCACTGGAGTGTATGCCTCTCTACCTGGTGCATACACCTTTGAGAGCAAAGACAGCTCTTAATATATCTGCGTCTAGTTCATTTATTCACTTACTCAAGTCATTTATTCATTTGTTCAACAGTAGTTACTGAGCCAGACAGATCCTATTCTACTCTTTGGGGATATTTTTGTGAACAAAACAGACAGACTCCACATCTTTTTTCCTGATGTGGAGTCCTTGGGGTTAATGAACATTAAACTCATAATCACAAATGGAAATTTTCCACAATGGAAATATAAACTTATACCCTGTGATAAATGTGACAGAGGAAAAAGGAATGGCCTTTTTCAGAAGAAGCAGTGAATGGCCTTATTTAGATTTTGGATCAGAAAGGGCCAAAATGGTGATATTTAAGCTGAAACCCAAGGACACATGGTATTCCCATATCGTAGGGCTAAGAAGTATTTCTTGCTTTGAGAAATGATCCGCCATCTCTAAGGTTACATGGTTGGTATGAACCTTCTCACTGTGAATAATCCTGGCTGTGGCTTCCAGGACAACCCCTTCCCTCCTTGATTTGCCACCAACCTCCCAATGTTCTTTCTGGCGTTCCCTGGCTCTAATAACCCATGGAAACCTCCACCACGTCAGCTGAAGCTACAGTGGAAGTGAAGCAATTATATCTCAAGATATCTCAAGGCTACTTGTGGAATTAGGACGAAAGATTTTCTTGCAAATATGTTTATGAAGCATTTAGCAGTCCATCAGACACTTACCCTAATAAAAGAGCATACGTCCTTGGTAGCCACAGTGTTGCAAAGTGAAAAGCACATGGCCTTTGGGATTCAGCTGATCTGAGTTTGAACCCCAGCCCCTCAGCCTCAAGCAGACGATTTCTTAGTCTCAGTTTCCTCATCTGTAAGATAAGGGCAAATTCAATTTAAACTCACAAGGTTTTGTGAGGACTAATGTAACACACCCAGGCACAGAGTAAACAGTCACCAGACATTAACTGTAATCTCCTACATTCCCTTTCTCCACAACTTTCTGACCTCTATGTGTCCCCAGTTTCCCCTGAGCTCTCCAGTTCTCCCCTCTTCTCCATGATCACATGAAAGCCACCGCCCTCCTTCAAAGCCAGCTCCTACAGCATGAATCTGCTTCCATTAAGAAACACAATGGGCCCAGCATGAGCCACCCAGGACCCAATAGCAAGGAAGATGTGAGTACCTAGGGGCTGAGCAAGACTTCAGTCCTGCTCAGGAGAACAGTCCAGGGCATGACAGGGCACAGGAACAACTCCAATCGTCAAGCGGGAAATCAGCCAGGGATCTGGTCCAGAAGGGGACCTGGGGCACCAAGCAGGATGATCATTCAAAACTGAGAGCAGGGGCCAGGTACTCACAGACAGAAGCCCTGGGGTGAGAGGTATAAGAGAGAGGAAAGAGGAGCTATTATTTAGGGCTCCCTAAGACCTCCAGGAGCTCACAAGATAGGCACTTGGGACTGAGTCATCTAAAATAAAGAGTCCATTCTAGGTCACCAGGGAAAGAGGTGTGAGCAAGGCCCAAAAATGTCTCTCCCACAGGTAACCTGAGATCAGCCTTGGGAATGGGACAGGGAAGGCAGAGAACTGCAGGAGAAACTGACAGCAGACAGGACATTTTGCTTATCTGAAAATGCTATATGCAATTATAATCAAATCCCTCTTACTCCCCTACAGGTAAGCACAGACACCTCCACCTTGAGAAAGGCAGATCCAAAAGGCCGGAGTGCACTGTTGGCTGACATCCAGCAAGGAACTCGCCTGCGAAAAGTCACACAGATCAACGACCGCAGTGCCCCGCAGATCGAGAGTAAGTGAGTAGCCCGTCCAGGCCTCCTGTGAGCCAAGGACAGGGCAGGCATGTGAGGCACAGCCAGACACCCCTGGCTGGGGCCACAGCTGCTTCCCAGGACACACATGGGGCCATCTCAGACCTGCTCATTGGACAGGCCAAGTGGGCAAGAGAACCAGAGCTTTCCTTCCAAATCTGCAAATGGTTTAGAGCATATCTTCTATCCTTGTCAAATGCTAAAAAGAACTCCACAGTGGGCAACTTTTTAAAAATTATAAAATACACGTAACATAAAATTCGTTTTAACCTTTTTAAAGTGTTCAGTCAGTACCAATTATTATGTTCACAATGTTGTTGCAACAATCACCTCTATCTAGTTCCAGAACGTTTACGTCACCCCCACAGGAAATTCCATATCCATTAGCAAGTCATTCCCCATTAGTCCCTGGCCCTTGGCAACCTAATCAACTTTCTATCTCTCTGAATTTGCCTATTCTGAAGTTTCAAAGAAATTGAATCGTGTACTATATGGCCTTTTGTGGCTGGCTTCCCTCACTTAGCTTAATGTTTTCAAGCTTCATAGATGTTGGAGCATGTATCAGTACTTCACTCCTTTTCATCATTTAGTATTTAACTGTATGGACATACCACGTTTTGTATATTCTTTGTAGGGTAACATTTAAAGATTGCTCACCCTGTGTCAACATAGTCCTCAAACTCAGTGTCAGAAAGTAAAGGGCTTGTTCCGGCATGGTGGCTTACACCTGTAATCCCAGCACTTGGGGAGGCCAAGGTGGGCAGATCACCTGAGGTTAGGAATTCAAGTCCAGCCTGACCAACATGGAGAAATCCCGTCTCTATTAAAAATACAAAATTAGCTGGGCGTGGAAGTGCATGCCTGTAATCCCAGCTCCTGGGGAGGCTGAGATAGGAGACTCACTTGAACCCAGGAGGTGGAGGTTGCAGTGAGCTGAGATTGTGGCACTGCACTCCAGCCTGGGCAACAAGAGCAAGACTCCATCTCAACAACAACAAAAAAAAGTGAAGGGCTCAACATTTTTTTTTACTGCAAAATTTTTGTTTTACTTTTCACAAGGAGAAAGATGTATTAAGAATTCTGTTTCAGAAGATGATATGACTGAAGCTTGTTGTCTTCTAGAATGTGACAGAGTAAGCTGAGTTCCTGTGCTCAGGTCAGACAACCTACATTGAATTCTAGTTCTGCAACCAGACAAATCGGGGAGCCTCTTTGAGGCTGTTCGGCCATCTGTGAAATGGAGAGACAATACTCGCTCCTCTTTTTTTCTTGGTCAAGATTGTTGAAAGATGAAATAATACATGCAGAGAACTCTTTAGTACAGGTCGAGCCCTAATTCAAAAATCCCAGATCTGAAAGTTTTTGAATGTCAACATGATACCTCATGTGGATGATGAAGACAACATTGTTAACACAGAAGAAAATGTGCCTCCAGATGACATGGTGGAAATGTGTGATAGGCTTATTGAAGGACAAGAGCAGCGTACATTCATAACAGAACAAGAAATCATATCAGTTTACAAAATCAGACAGGCTTCTGAGACAAAAACCATTGTTAATGAGGCCGATGACTCTGGAGGAAACATTTTCAAAAGCCATCTAGCAGAATGCTTCCTCAGCTCAACTCTAGAGCACCTAGTTCCTGGTTTCTCGGTAGTTTCTAATGTTTCTTCTCACCTAAAACAGTAAGATCCAGTGTACAGTAACCTTTAATCAAAACACAGCATTGCAGGAGACTGAAGGCCTGCTTTTGTGTGTTGCTGCTGTGGTCTAACAGCTGATCCGGGTATTCTGGTAGTGCTACTGTGTTGCTTAGTTACTTGCTGTGTTAATGGTGTGCCATTTTTTTAACTGTTAAGTACTTATGTGTAAAGAAGTGTAAGAAACTGATTGCTTATTGGTAGCATGGAAATTCAGTTCAGGAATGCTGGTGATAGATAAACCACAGATTGTACACATGGGAGGCTGAGATGGTGACACCTTTGCTTTCTGATGGCTCCATGAGCACCAGCTTTGTTTTATGCACAAAATTATTTTAAAATATTGCATGAAATTACCTTCGAGCTATGTGTAAAAGTATATATGAAACAAATAAATTTCATGTTTAGACTTGGGTCCCATTCCCCAAGATATCTCATTATGTACACGTACATATTTAAAAATCCAAAAAAAATCTGAAATACTTGATCCTAAGCATTTTGAAGAAAGGATACTCACCCTGTAATGTAAGGTATTATTATTATTATTATTATGTCTTCCTATGTTTTTCTATGATGTGCATGATGGTCATTCTTAAAGATAGTCCTAAAAATGTAGTATCTCTTATTTGTAATTATAAATGTCAACAAACAAGGGTAGACAGATTTTTAAAGAAATATTTTCAACATTGAGTACATTAAAAATTTGTTTCGGGTTACACCCATGATCGAATTGGTTAAGCCTAATTAATAGGTAAATCAATTTCATTGAAACACCCACTGCCTAATCATTCTAATGAGTAAGTAATGTACAATATGAATACACGGAATAATCTGGCCACTTTCATCCACCAGTGGGCACTGTGCCCTAATTTCTCTGTGCATATTAGCTTCTGGTTGTAAATGTTTTCTGCCAGGAACTCTTTTCTAAGCTGAATATCTTCTCATTATCTGCAGTTGGTAATCACACATGTCTGGAAGACTGGAGTTAGTGACACCTTTTTTCAGGGGCTCATGGTCTTTCTGTTCCATAGATAAAAAGGTGCAGGGAGGCGTAAGGGGTTGAGAGCCCGAGGGCTGGAGAGACAGGAAGGAAAATGCCAAAGCACAAATCATTGCAGGCTTGACCTCCTCCTTGCTGTTCTGATCAGTGCTCTGTGGATAAGAAGTTAAAATGACCAACTCAATTAAATCTGATGAATCTGGAGAACATCATTCTCAGCAAACTGAAACAAGAACAGAAAATGAAATACCGCATATTCTCACTCATAGGCGGGTGATGAACAATGAGAACACATGGACACAGGGAAGGGAGCACTACACACTGGGGTCTATTGTGGGAAATAGGGGAGGGACAGCAGCGGGGGATCTGGGGAGGGATAGCATGGGGAGAAATGCCAAATGTGGGTGAAGGGGAGGAAGGCAGCAAAACACACTGCCACGTGTGTACCTATGCAACTATCTTGCATGTTCTGCACATGTACCCCAAAACCTAAAATGCAATTTTAAAAAAATCTGTGGGTTTTCCCTGTCTAGTTCTCCATAGTCAAGCTGAAAATAAGGGCAGCTCTACACCTACCACGTTTGGGTTTTCTAATTCAAGGTGCTGCCAGTTGCTCTGTTAGCATCTACAAAATGCTGGTGTTTAGGTCTCTTTGTTTTGGTCACTTTTCAGGGGAGTTGGGCACAAATGGTTAGTTCTTTGGTAGGACTGGAGAGGGTGGGGCACATGAGTCTACAGGGTGTCAAAGCAGAGGGTGCCTGGGGAAGATGCTGATCAGAGGTGGGAGAATGGGATGGCTGAAAAGGGCAGTGTTAGACCACTGTTAGACCATGGTCTGAAATGAGACCTGGCTGCTCAGCTCTGCTCTCAAGTCCTTGCCTCCTTGTGTCTTCTCTCTAAAGGTTCTAAAGGAACCAACAAAGAAGGAGGAGGTTCTACAAACACACGAAGCGCAAGTATGCCCCCGGCCCTGGGAGATCTGTTTGCTGGTGGCTTTCCTGTGTTGCGACCAGCAGGCCAGCGGGATGTAGCAGGTAAGGAAGAATTCCTTCTGGCTCCCTTGTGGTCTTTATCTCTTTAGCTTGTGGCACCACCTGGGCGATCCACACATGCCGGTAAGCAACAGGCTTTTACTGAACAGTCATGATAGAGTAAAAGACCATGTTCTTGGGACCGTAAGCACTGGAAACTTCCAAAATACAAAATGGTTCTTGAGAAATCTTTTAAATCATCATCTTATTTAAATTAGTCCATTGTACTAGTTGAAAAGTGACCTGCAACAATGTGTAATGCTTAGTGATGGCGTGATGGTAGCCCAGACTGCAAAGTGTATACAGACAGAAGGTTCAAATTATAGAAGTGCATAGCGACATCACTGTGGATGCACTAGCAATGTATGAGTTGAAATGATTCAGTCATCGCATCAGTTAGGTACTGCTGTATAACAAAATACCCTAAAACTTAAAATCTTTAAATAATCGTTTTTTTAGCCTACAATTCTGTGGGTTTTAGAATTCCAGAATTCTGTGGGTTTAGAGTAGTCTTGGCTGGGTTCCCTCTTGCAGCTATAAAGAACTGCAGGTTGTGTAGGTGACTTTGCTAATCTTCTATTTCTCATATTTTTCCAACCTCTGGGGCCTCAGCTATAACCACTGGCTTGACTCACCTCTATCCACATGGTCTCTTGGTATCCAGCAGGGCATCCAGGCCTTGTTTCCATGCCAGCAGCAGAGATCCAAAAGAGAAGACAGAAATATAAATAAAGTCTCTTGAGGCTTAGTCTTGGAAGTATTACTAGGAAGTAACTTGGAAATCTAAGAAGTATCACTTCCTACCACATCCTCTTGGCCAAAGCAAGTCACAAGGATGGGGAAATAGACTTCGCCTCTTGATGAGAGAAACTGTAAAATCATATTTCAAAGATTACAGAATCAGGCATGAGTGGATAATGAAGGCCATGTTTGTAATCAGTCTCCCTCAGTCATTTCTTTATTTAGTGGGCATCAGATGTTTTGAAAGTATTGCATTAAAATTGAACAAATATATATTTACTATGAAAAAATAGACTTTTTTCTATTATTGTTCTCTTTAACCAGCAAGCTCCAGGAATACTGTTAATACAGGAAATATTAAGACCCAAACATTCCTGGTGCCGGATCTTCCATCATGTGACTTTTCTAACTTTTTCAGTGGCCTCTGTGACTGTTTAATGTTATGGGATGCATATGCCTCACTCACCAATAAAATTCCAGCAAAGACAAAGACTCTAGGATACTTTGAGATCCAACTTGAGCCTTCTCAGGGGCCATGTTCATTTCCTCATTTTTGCTGAGGGGTTAGCAGGAAAGGCAGAGCACAAGGTCTTCCTCAATAGAGACAGCAGATATTCTTCAGTGCCCTCTTCTTTTTCAAAATTCCTGAGTGCTATCAAACAAATATCCTTTGGAATAGAAGACTTCCATGAATTTCTCTTCATAGAAGTAGAGATGGGAGAAATAGGCTCCAGTCAGGTTTTCATAGGAAGCAGCCAAAAAAAGCCAGCAGGAGTCCTACTGGTCTGCTTGTCTCCAATGGGAGATAGTGTCAGATGTTTGAGCCACTGTAATGGGAAGACAAGAACTTACCTCTTTAGAGATGGAGGTCCATAAGGAAGTGAGGTGTGATGCCTATTACAGGATGGAAACTCAAGGAGAAAGCTACCAGATAAATGCATGGACTGGGTGCCATGTTAGGGCAAGGAAAGCTGTGGCTCTCTCCTCCCAGAACTTCCCCGGCAGCCCATTTCTCATCAGAGGAAGGGACTGAGGCCTTTGCTGCCTCTCTGATCTTCTGGCCTGCCTTTCTCCGTGGCTCATGCCACGCCATCCTCCTTGCTGCTCTTCACACACCAGCATGCTGCTGCCACTGGGCACCTGCACTGACTTTTCCCTTGGCCCAAAAGGCTCATCCCCAGGTGTCCACGTGGCTCCATCTCTCCCTTCCTGCAGGTCTCTGCTCAGGTGGCAGCTGATCAACATGTCTGCAAGATCTTTACTTATCATCCCATATAAAGGTTCAGTCCCATCCTTTCATTTCATATCTCCTTTCCCTTGATTTACTTTTCTTGTATTCCTTAGCACCATCTGAAGTATTATGTATTCACTGGTTTATTTGTTTATTGTCTGTCTTATGCTTCTAAAGCTAAGCTCCATGAAGGTGGGGACTATGTTTTGTTCATTGCCTTCAAAATGCCTGACGCATGGCAGGTGCTCCGAAAATATTTGCTGAATTGCATGTGTGAATGGGTAGTATGGTGGCTGATATCCATTAGGCACCATAGCACAGTGTCATGGGCTCATGGTACTTTTACGGACCCATGAAAATATTTAAATTTCTTTTAAAATCTGAAGAAAACATGACCTTTTAGGGTCAAAGAATATATTTGTCTTTGTACCAATGCAATCATGAATATAATTTTTTTTTTAATGGAGAAGAGGCCTACAAAGGCAAAAGTGCCTAGGGTCCGTGGAGTCATAATGTAGTCAGGGCTTAGAGCTCCAAGGGAGTGAGAATTAAAATAGATACAATGAGTAAACATTATTTCTGGGTTGAATAGAATGTGTAATGAGGCTTCCAAGGTCTTCTGGAAAACATTCAATTTGAGGAAGAAGAAGTACTTCATATTTTGATAAACCTCCAGGTTCTAAAAGCTGAAAGTTTCCTATGGGCACAGCATCCCTGATGCCCTCAAGCTGCCTTTCCTGCCTCCTGGTCTCCTTTGTGCTTCCTTTGGTTATCTAGGGCTCAGGTTTCCATTGTGAAGGATGGCCTCCTCCCTTACTTCCCTCAGCTCCCTCAGAGCTCTCTACCTGATGAGGCCCACCTCCTCCCCTTGCCTGAATTTACACGTCAGGCCCTGTCTCCCCTGCGGTCTCACCTTCCTCCTTGAGGGGCATGAATAGAAGCCAGGCAGGGACTTGGCCGCCCTTCTGTTGCACGTCTTAGGATAAAAATGAGTTTGCCCACATTTCTCTTTGATTGGGGCTTCATCAGCACAGGATACCCTACTTTTAACTGACTCTGTTTAAGGGTTTTTGAATCTTTGAGACATGGTGTCGTCAGTTACTTAAAAGGTTTGGATAGACTATTCAAGGGTAGGCTTTGTTCTGTTTTGCAAGAACTTTTATTATCCCTTTAAATGTCATTCAGCCACTGGGCATGTCGGTAGGCTCTGCCTTGTTTAAGGAGCTGCCTAGGTTATCCTCGTCATCTTTTTGTATTGTATGGAAACAGGTTTGAGAACTTCTAGGCAGGAATCCCTGAGCTGACACGTGCTAATACCATCCTCACCCTACCTTAAGAACAACCATTCCATAATATGGTTGGAATATTACGGACTAGGTGACTGTCACATTATAGCCAGAGGGGATCATATTTGGAAAGCCAGATACCAAGGTCTTGCCTACTTAGCTTCATCTGAGTCACCTCTGCTACGCCAGGCTTTGATTGGCCTGGCTTTTGACATCTAGTATTTTAAGTGTATGACTTAGTTACTGACTGGGGTAAACATACAGGAGACGCAAGTACTGCAAAGCTCAGAATCCCCAACAGATGCTGGGGTTTCTGATCCGAAATGAAAGCTGCAGGTCCTGTGCTGCCGCACCCAGGAAGTAGTGGGTGGGAGAAAACGTCATTTTTCAAGTGTTGTCCATACGTTGTCATGGGGATTATAAAATATAGGGGGAAGCATACTCCCCAGAAATCCTTGTAAAAAGAGCACTAAATCTGGAAGAAATATTTTAATCTGCCTAGCCAGTTATACTCCAAAGACATCTCTAAGCAGTAATTGCAGAACTTCAAGGCAGTAAACAGCGAAAGGAACTTTTTCTCACTGGAGAGAGGCAGAGGGAAAAAAGGGTGAGAACTAGCAAAACGGTGCAAGGTTGTGCTGGGTATAGAGGACCCTCCTGGGACATGCTGCACCCCAGTCTTCCTTGAAGACCAAATGCTTGCCAAGAGCAAATCATTGCTGCTGAATTTAAAAGAGGAATTGAATTTCAAGTTGGGATAGATGCAAGGAAGGATCTACAGGGTGAGGAAGCTGAGACCCTTGAGAATTAGCACTAAGTCTTTGGGAAAGGCGGTTTTCAACTTCCAGAGGCCATAGAACTGTGAAGTTCAAGGTCATTGGAACTGGATTGTCAAGGGCAAGCGTCTCCCTCCTGTCTTAACTTATATACTCAGGAAATCATGAATTTTCTGCTCTCAACACAGAAACAAAGAAAGTCTTGTTCACAAAATGCTGGGAGTGAAGACAGCCTCCCTAGCCAGGATGGCACACCCGAGGGTCCAAATTAGAGCGTAAGGGCTGAAGGACCTAGCAGGTGTCCGTGAATGAGTGTGAGTGTGGCCTTGCTTAGGAAGGGTAAAAGGCATCCAGGCAGTCCTGGCCCTTGGTTAGGATACTAGAGGCCCAAGGCAGAGGAGAGCAGAGGTAGCATGGATAGGAGGGCTGGAGGCCTGACCTAGGCCTGTCATTAATCCTGGAAAGGACCTTGGGGCTGGTCCAGTTGGTCCTTCAGTGTGACAGCTGCAGCACCTGAGGCCGCACGGTGGACACATGCAGAAAAAGCAGTCTATTGTGCAGCTCACTGCGACAGGCTTGAGTGTCCTGAGTGCTGCCTGCCCGCGGGGGCTTTTTCTTTATTGCCAAGCTAACCCAGAATCTGTTTCACTTTCAGGTGGCAAAACAGGGCAGGGCCCTGGCTCCCGCGCGCCCTCTCCCAGGCTTCCCAATAAAACCATCAGCGGCCCACTTATCCCACCTGCGTCTCCCAGGCTAGGCAATACCTCCGAGGCGCACGGCGCTGCCAGAACAGCCCCGCCTCGCCCCAACGTGCCTGCCCCGCCCCCTCCCACTCCACCGCCTCCGCCCCCTCCCTTACCCCCACCACTTCCCTCTTCCTCCCCCAACAAAACTCCGCTGGTGTCCCCATCTGGCCCACTGACCAAAGGGAACCCCCCGGTGGTTGCACCCCCTGCTCCCTGTGCACCACCGCCTCCACCTCCGCCACCTCCCCCAACGCCACCCCCACTACCCCCTTGTCTCAGTGACAAGGCAGTGAAGCCTCAGCTAGCCCCCTTGCCCCTCCCGCCCATCCCGCCCCCGCTCCCTCTCCTCCCACCTTGTGGGTATCCCGGGCTCAATGGGGAGCCCGCCAGCCCTGCGCAAGATGTGCAGGAGCCTCCAGCCCCACCGCCCCCGCTTCCTCCTTATGCCTCGTGCTCCCCGAGGGCTTCTTTGCCCGCGCCCCCTTTGCCAGGAGCTAATAACAGCAGTGAAACCCCACCCCCACTACCTCCCAAGTCCCCCAACTTCCAGGCCCCACCGCAGAAGACGGGTGCGCAAGCCTTGCCCGCGCCACCTGCCCCTCCGGGCTCCCAGCCGTTCCTGCAGAAGAAGAGGCACGGCCGGCCAGGTAAGCAGCACTGTTTGGCCCAGTGCCTCTGGTGGAGCACGGTAAAATCTTGTTGCGGCCGGGTGCGGCGGCTCACGACTGTAATCCCAGCACTTTGAGAGGCCAAGGCAGGTAGATCATGAGGTCAGAAGTTCAAGACCAGCCTGGCCAAGATGATGAAACCGTGTCTCTACTTAAAAATACGAAAAAATTCCCCGGGCGCGGTGACAGAACGCCTGTAATCCCAACTACTTGGGAGGGTGAGGCAGGAGAATCGCTTGAATCTGGGGGGTGGTGGTTGCAGTGTGCCCAGATTGCACCATTGCACTCCAGCCTGGGCGACAGAGACGCCATCTCAAAATATGTATACATATATATATACGCACACACATACATACACACACACACACACACACACACAGTCGTTGCACAGGACTTTATTGTTGGGGATATTATTTCAGAGATGGACACCAGGGGTGAGTGAGGCTGGGAGACTTGCCCAAAATCATCATGCTGCCTGTAAGCAATGAATCCTGGCCTTGATCCCCAGCCCTTACTAGCTCCGTGATCCTGGGCAACCACCTGGCCTCTCTGGTCTCCCTTCTCTTCATCTGTAACATGAGGCTAGATAGCAATAATTGCTGCCTCCTGGGCTTGTTGCTTAAGAATTAAGTAAGTTCTTAGGTGTGCGGTGCTTGGAACAGTGGCTGGCAGCAGTGAGCTTGAGAGGGATTATTTATTCTTACTATCATCCTTCCAACTCCAGAACTCCTCCCTGAGGTGGAGGGGGCGTGAGTGTGGCTCATTTCCAGAACCAGGCCTCCTTTTATATTTTCGGGCATTTTCCCGTCTGGCTCCCTGCCAGAATCTTCACCAGCCCTCAGTAAACTGGATTCCCACTCTGCCTTAGTTTTCACAGGTTCTCCAGCTACCAGAAGAAAACTGAGGGCCTGCATTTTGAGCCAAATATTAAAAATAATTCCTTCACATATACAGCACAGATTATTTGAATTGAGTGTGCATGCCCCATGGCTGATTCCCTTGGTCCCTGTAGTAGCAGGCTTCATTCAGTTTTAGTGCCCTTGTGAATGGGAAGTACATCCACACGTCCACATCCACACCCACATACACACAGACACACTCAAACATATGCACACTCATAACATCCACATGCACACCCCAACATGCATATTCCTTTGTCTTTTAGAAAATCTTTTGATGCAGAAAGCTTCTTAAAAGTATTTTCTTGAATTAAAAATAAGGCCAGCTTGTTGTAGAGCAAATAGAAGGAAATTGACATTGACATGGTATGGATGGCTCACACCAGTAATCCCACTGCTTTGGGAGGCCCATGCCTGAAGATGGCTTGAAGTCAGGAGTTCTAGGCCAGCCTGGGTAACATAGCAAAACCCCATCTCTACAAAAAATAAAAATAAAAAATTGGCTGGGCATGGTGGCAGACGCCTATAGTCCTAGGTACTTGGGAGGCTGAAGCAGGAGGATCACTTGAGCCTAGGTGTTCAAGGCTGTGGTGAGCTATGATTATGCCATTGCACTCCAGCTTGGATGACAGAGCCAGGTGCTGTCTCTAAGTAAATTAACTAATTAAATCACCCAAAATAACATCACCCAGAGATTGAAAACTGCTATTTGGATATGTTTCTTTAATTCTTTTTTCTGAATATATTTCATGTTTACATGGTTAATACCATTTTTCACATACAGTTTTGTGTTGTTTTTAAATATTAAAAACAATTTTATCAAATTGTTAAAATATCTTTATAAGTAAAATAATATGATAATCAGTATATTCCATATTCCTCATGTTAGATATCTCAGTTGATTCCATTTTTTATGCATAATACTGCAAGAAATACTTCTGTAGAAATTTTAGTCTACATTTCTGATATTTTTCTAAAAGTATTGGTTTCTTAAAGGAAATTCCTGGTGCAAAGAGCAAGGATATTTTTAAGCCTTTTGATTACAAGAGGTAAGGTGTTAATCACTCTTTTCAATTGACTGGTCATGATAAGGGCCAGCATTTATACTGGTAAGCCCCTTCTGATATGTGTTATTTTCAAATATTTATGATGGGATGGAAAAAAACAAAGTTTTGTTTTTTAGGTTTTTTTTGAGACACAGTTTCACTCTGCCACCCAGGCTGGAGTACAGTTGTGGGATCTCAGCTCACTGCATCCTCCACCTTCCAGGTTCAAGTGATTCTCGTGCCTCAACCTCCTGATTATCTGGAATTACAGGCATGCACCACCACGCCTGGCTAATTTTTGTGTTTTTAGTAGAGACAGGGTTTCACAACGTTGGCAGGCTGGTCTCGAACTCCTGACTTCAAGTGATCTGCCCGCCTCAGCTTCTCAAAGTACTGAGATTACAGGTGTGAGCCACCGTGTCCGGCCAAGAAGAACAAGGCTTTTGATTCAGACGGCTGTGAGTTCAAATCCTGGGTTCCTCACCCACTCCTGTGGAAACTCACACCAAGTTGGGTTTGGTGTTTTTTTTAATACTGAATGTTTTTATTTGACAAATGGGAATACTAATAACACCTTTCACATAGGATTATTAGGAATAGGAAATGAAAATGTGTCTAAAAGGCTTGCACGTAACCTCAGCTCCAGCAGCATTATTTCCTTATCACACAGTAGGGCAGCTGTTCACCCAGAAGAGGGGCTGCAGTCCCTTTATCCTGTGCATGGGAGCAAGTAAATTCCTCATAGATTTTTGAGCCCAGGAAGGGAAGACCAGCAAGGGAGAGGAAGGCAGTTGAGAGGGAGAAAGAAAGACGGGCAGATGCTGAAGGAACATGAGACATGAGGATGGCAGCTGGTGACTGAGAACGCCCACTGCAGCCAGGGCGCCTGCATCTGCTCCAGGGTAGTGAGCCCTGTGCCAGGATGGGGATTCATATCTGGCCACCTTCTTTGCATCTTTGGATGTGAAACTTGGTTTGTCATGTTCAAAATAAAGGGCAATTTCTACTTTAGCCTAACTTGCGGGGGAAAGAGAGAGGTAGTAATTGTGAACATCTTAGCAGAGAGAGTAATGATGTAACTGTCATCATTTCAAGAAGCAAAGTGATGTTTGCAGTGCTACTGAAGAAGTAAGCAGCAGCGGAACCCCTGCGTTGATGTGCCAGGACAGTGGTTTTTAGTTGCCAGATGAACCATATAGGAAAGTATTGGCAAAGGAGAGAGTGAGCCTCTCTCAGGCATGATCAGAGAAAGCTGGAGAAAGTAGGTGGGATTGGAGTTAGGCCCTGGTGGGCAAGCAGGATTAGGTGGCCTGAAAGAAGAAACGAGCATTTGCAGTGCTGGAGAACCAGTGTGAGCAGGGATCCAGCAGGAACAAGCCCCTGGCCCTCTGCAAGCCTTCCTCTGGCCTGTCCTACAGACAGCCCTTCCTGTTCTTACCACTCTTTAGTGATTGCCCTGCTTTGGGCTGTACCCATGATGAAGGTTATCACCATCATTAATATTATTGCAGCAGCTAACATTTATTGAGCACTTACTACATGCCACTCAAATTCAACTCATTGAATCTTCTCAATACCCCTGGGAAGTGGGTGTACTATTACAACTCCTATCTTACAGATGAGGAAACTAAAGCACAAAGAGGCTATGTTACTTATCCCAATGTGAGAACTGCAATTCAGTGCCAAACAGTTTGACTCCAGAGGTTGCCTTTTTACTCACTATGTCATATTCCATCTGAAGATCAAAATGCCTAACATCTCACATAAGGTTATAGCATCCACCGTTCCCATCTGTATGTCTGAATATGCCATCATCTTCTCTGTAAGGGGCCGGTGGGGGAAAGCTAAATCCACCTCCAGCACCCCCTGCGAGATCACCCACCACAGAGCTTTCAAGCAAGAGCCAGCAGGCCACAGCCTGGACTCCGACGCAGCAGCCTGGGGGTCAACTGAGAAATGGAAGCCTGCACATCATCGGTAAGTGGGGTGCACCCTGTGCCGGGATGGCTGCCCAGTGGGAAAGTGGCTCTCCCAATCTCTGGAGAGAGAGTTTGCCAGCCACAGTGCTGTCATCTCAGGGTGCATGCTTCTCTATGAACAGGCTCACTCCAGCACCAACCAGCCTACAGGTTCTGTGCAACAGGGTTGGTTTCTAGGCTTTCTGCATAGTTTCAAGGCCCACTCTCTAGCCTTCTGATTCAAATTAGAGAAAGGGAAGAAAACCAACATGTAAATTGTGTGTGTGTGTGTGTATGTGCATGTGTGTGTGTATGTGCATGTGTGTGTGTGTGTCTATGGAGAAATCAGTGCATAAGCCTGAAAGAGTAGAGTGATCTGGATAAGGAGAAAGAATAAATAGAAGGTCCACCAGGCAGAGGGACAGTTTGAGTGTTAGTATGGAGGTAGGAAGGAAAGTCACCTGGGGTCAGATGTGAGGCCACGGAATCTTTGGATCCCTTCTGCATGCTGGGCTAGTGTCCAACAGAGGCCCAGGTCACAAAGTAGGGGCTCAGCCCATGAAAGGGCCACAGGAGCCCTCCCCTCTGGCTGACAGAGCTCAGAGCAGAAGCGGTTTGCTTTATGGAGCTCAGGTCCCACCCTGGACACAGGCCATGCTCCTCCACTCCCCAGCCATTCTGCCCACCTCTTCCTCCCCTCCAAACCCTTTCAGGAGCTTAACAGGTGCTGCAGGCTGCTGGGGCTTTGCCAGTCCCTTGTTGGCCCCAGGGTCCCTGCCTCTGATTCTGGACTCTGGAGAGCCCTGTGCCACTTCCATCCCTTTAGCAGCTTCCTTAAGGTGTTCTTGGTTGGAGTATATTCGGGTGGGTGACAGGGAGTGACTGGATTTCCCTCTTCCTGCTTCCCTGCATCCCAACCAACCAGTAAAATTTAAGAGGTTAGTGGATGTCTTAGGGAGAATGGTCATTAAAATTCTTGCACCGAGCAGGCAAACAGAAAATAGTGGATGCACTCAGATGGGTGCATCTCTGTGCTCCTGGAAATGATAAAAACTTGGGTCATAACAGTAACCTGAGTAACTCTTTCCATTTCCCACGTGTCCAGATGACTTTGAGTCCAAATTCACGTTCCATTCTGTGGAAGACTTTCCCCCTCCGGATGAATATAAACCATGCCAGAAGATTTACCCCAGCAAGATCCCCAGAAGTAAGTACCACCTGGATAAGTCTCCTGGCATTTCCCGACCTCCAAAATTAGGCACCTGGTGTGCACTGATTGGTCACAGACTGTCTGAAGGATGACATTGTGATTTCACTGCACTGCTGCAAGGATGTAGCACTGTGCATAGTTCTGGAACTTCCAGGACATTGGTTTCTCCTGATGCCTAAGTGTTCATTTAGAGATTTTTACAGAACATCGAGGGTAACTGGCATCATATTTGGAGGCCTAAACTTAGCACTCATCCCTCTCCTCCCTGGGGCTTTTGATAAGGGAACTACACACCCTAGACAACAGCAAAATAGGATATAGGAGCTTTGCATCAGTCGCTGAGGAAGAACCTGAAAACTGCTAATGCAGAACTCTGGCAAACCGTTAAATGGAGAATGTCCTTAGGTCAATGGTTCTCAACCTCGGCTACATATTAGAATGACCTAAGGAGCTTCTGTAAATCCTGAAGGCCAGGCTACATCTAAACCACATAATCAGAATATCAATACCTAGGTGTCAGGATTGTTAAAAGCTGCCACGTGATTCCAATGTACAGCCGAGGTTGAGAATCACAGCTCAGTAAGGGCCTGCCTCCTCCTGATTTCATTGTGTGGTCAGACTTTAAAAGGGGACATTTAACCCAGCTTACCTGTTCAGCCTTAAGTGTAGAGAGTTAAGCCAGGCATATATTGCTCACACCTGAAACCCCAGCACTTTGGGAGGCTGAGGCAGGAGGATCACGGGTTCAAGACCAGCCTTGTCAACATAGCAAGATTTCATTTCTACAAAATATTACCCAGGTGTGGTAGTGCACACCTGTAGTCCAAAGGTGGTAGCCTGAGGTGGAAGGATTGCTTGAGCCCAGGAGTTGGCAGCTACAGTGAACTATGATCATGCCACTACATTCCAGCATTGGTGACAGAGCGAGACTCTATCCAAAAAAAAAAAAAAAAAAAAAATGAGGTGGAGGAGCCAATTCTTGTCTGGTACTGGGCCAATCACATTGGGCAGGAGCCTAAGTCAACACTATGGAGTAAGGGTCAAACCCCACAGTCCAGACATCTGTTGACCCAAATGGAGAATCACTGTCCAGGGTTAGCCTAAAACCAGGAATAGTGAGCCAGGCTCTTTACCTGTCTCCTTCCGGAGGAACCTTAGTGAAGTCCCTTCAGCAGAATTCAGCTTCCTGCAGGGCAGAGGGAACACAAGCCTATCCTGTGCTCAGGTGGAGGGGGTGCAGGCCTGCCCGTGCTCAGGTGGAGGGGATGCAGGACCCTGGGCTCAGGTGGAGGGGATGCAGGGCCCTGGGCTCAGGTGGAGGGGATGCAGAGCCCTGTGTTCAGTGGGAGGGAACGTGGGCCTGCCCTGTGTTCAGGTCAGGGGAATGCGGGCCTGCCTTGTGCTCAGGTGGATGTCCATCTCAGGGTCCGCTGAGCACATCTCTCTCTGATAGCCTATATGACTGTACACCTACTATTTGAAGGTGTACATGAAGGCCTAGCAAAAGACAGGTGCTATGTCCATCTCCCATCCCTGCTCAGTTCAGCAAACTCACATGAACCACCTGTCATACCTACAGGCACCAGAGGCCGCAAAGTGTAAGAAACAAGGTCTCCTCCATCATCCGTCCACCACACACACTCCTTAGATGAGAATTAGACACCATAAGAGTTGTTTTTTTTTTTTTTCTGAGATGGAGTTTCTCTCTTGTTGTCCAGGCTGGAGTGCAATGGCACAATCTCAGCTCACCGCAACCTCCATCTCCAGGGTTCAAGTGATTCTCCTGCGTCAGCCTCCTGAGTAGCTGGGATTACACAGTGATTGTTTAGAGTTCCAAGGGCACTTCAGTGGGCACAGGGGTATAGGTGGATGCTGGGGGCCTGAAGGCCAGAGAGAGAGGGTCACAGTTCTGCGTGGGTGGGAAGGCATCCAGGCTGAGGACAGGACAGACCCAGGAGAGAACATGATAGTGCTTGGTGCGTATAGGAACCATATGTCCCACGTGGTATGTCAGGGCCCAAGGTGCCTGGCTGGAGTAAGACCACACAGGCTGCAGCAGGTGCAAGGTTGGGAGTGTGTGTCCACATACAACACCTCTCTTCCCATCTTGTGAAATATGCACAGGAATCAGCTCAAGAAAGACCTAAGTGTTCATGTTCTAATTGGAGGACACAGCTTAGGTTCCCCAGCAGCAGACCTCCTAATACTACACCCAGAATTAGGCTCCTTTACTCCCCCAGACAGCGTGACTCACACATGAGGAAACTGAGGCTGACCCCTGTAGTCACAGAGTCTGCTTCATGGGATTTTCCACATGGCAGGGAGAGCACAGCCAAGGGACCCCCTTCATCAACCGGTGGCCAGATCTCAGAGCAGGCAGGAAGGAGCCAGGCTGCAGGTGGCTGCCTGCACATGAACCCACAGGGACAAGGAAATAAGTGTGCCTCCTAACAGGCTGTGTCCCACCTAAGGCATTGGAGCAGGAACCTGTAAGCAGGGAAGAACTGTCAGTGAAAATGCTAAACGACAATTCCAGCGCCATCGTGGACCCTGCGGTGGATGTTGTGGATGTTCGTGCTTTGCATACCTTATCATTCGTCCTTAATGGAGAGTTTCTAGACAGGGAAAAGGCCAGCTGACTTACCTAAAGCCTCACAGCAGATTAAAGCCAAAACCAGGAATTTTGAACCCACATCTCTCTGAACCAGGGCCAGTTCCATTTGGCCATGGTGAACTCTGAGAAGGGACATGATGACATGCAGGTTGAAACAGATAACCGGTGGCTGGTTCAGCGGAGGCAGAGCCCAGGGTCAGGGAACCTGTTAGGCAGCTATTATAACAGTCTATGCTGGGAGGCCAAGGCAGGCAGATCACCCAAGGTCAAGAGTTTGAGACCAGCCTTGCCAACACGGTGAAACCCTGTCTCTATAAAAAATACAAAATTAGCCGGGCGTGGTGGTGCGCACCTGTAATCCCAGCTACTTAGGAGGCTGAGGCAGGAGAATTACTTGAACTTGGGAGGCAGAGGTTGCAGTGAGCTGAGACCATTCCATTGTACTCCAGCCTGGACAACAAGAGCAAAATTCAATTAAAAAACAAAAAAGAGAGGCTGTGTGAGGGAGGATGGATGGAGGAGGTCCTCAGAGTGATCAGGGTTTGGGGAACCAGGCCCAGATGGGACCAAGGAAAATGGAAGAGCCAGAGTCCCAGGAGTGCCTGCCTTGGGCTGGATGGAGGATGTGACACCAAGAGGGAACTGGAGGTTTCTGGGGAGGCAATGGGATTCCTGTCATTTTAGTGAGGGCAGGTGGCTGGAGAGGTACAAAGGGAGATGCCATGTGGAAGGTGGAGTGCAGTGTACACAGGTCTGGGACTGATGAGGTGGGGCAAGGGCGAGGACTTGATTTGCTGGTCATTAGTTTAGAAATGGAAATATTGAACAATGAAGGACATGGCCATGATGTCAACCAGGTGCATGAAGTAGTTCTGTCTGTGTGACAGGAGGCTATAAACTGTGAATGAGTAGGGTCAACTCAGTCCCTCCCAGACATCCAGGTCCGTGGAAGCATTTAATAAACGGGATTTGACCTTGGTGACCTAGACAGACAGCTGAGGGAGAAAGTAAGGAATTTCTTTTATTATACTGCCTCCAAGTTGTAAATCAAGAATGTATACTGTTTTTCTTAATTTAATTCAGTATACTTATTGGCAGTATTGAAATAACTGTGCCCTTGGAACAGGTACAAGTACAGAATCCCAGCTACTGGCTCATTCAGGCTCCTTTCCTTCCCCTGAGCAGGGGTTTGCTGACTGGCCATGTTCATGCCACAAACCCCACAGATTTCCCTTACACCTGCCTGGCCCCTGAAGGCTTTCTAGTTGCGACCTATACCCTAAACAAGAGGTCAGCAAACATTTTCTGTAAAGGACCAGAGAATACATATTTGAAGCAATGTAGGTCTCCATGGTTACTACTCAATTGTGTTGATTATTAAATCAATCAGCAGCCATAAACAATACAGAAATGAATGGGCATGGCTGTGTTCCAATAAAACTTTATTTACAAAAACAGGTGTGGACTGAATTTGGTCCACTGGTTATATTTGCTGATCTGCCCTAAACCATTCCAGAAAACAGATTCCTAAAAACCTCTTTCGGGTCTTCAGACTTTCTCAGTAATGTGCTGTGGGGTCCTTCAACCTTCAGATTCAGTCAGTTCTAATCTACAGCTAGCTGCATTCTATACCCCTGGTGCTCACTCACACCCCCAAGAAGAGAAGAAAAGCTACACCCCCTCACCACACACGGCTTGCCAGGAGGGTTCAGTTGGCAGTCTGTGCACCAAAAATAATCTCCTGATGTTTACAAAGGAGCAGGTTTTTTTAAGAGCCTATTAAATGAACTGACATTGTATAGACTAGAAAGGGCAATTTCAAAATTCAGATACTGTTTTAGATTGATGTGGCATCGGTGGACACGGAGTACTCCACCAGCCCCCCAGCGAAATTAAATATGCATGTGTTTGTCATCCCCGTGAGCCCTAGCACAGAACCTTGTTAGTTACGTTAGTGTCAGTCAGATCTGGCGTGTGCCTGTCTGACTCCATTTCTCCTTACCAGTTTTCTTCTTGCCCACTGTTGACCTGGCTCCCTAAGATTAGATTTCTTCGTGGTCTGGGAGACAGTGTTGGTTCCATCAGATGAGTGTGTTCTCTGTCCCTGCCTGTTTGTTTGCTGTCTCTCCTGACCCCCCGCCCGTCCCACACACACAGACACACAAGGATGCACACACACTTAGTACTTCCACTAGCCATCATCATCGTCTCCACTCTGCAGGTGTTCGCTATTTTCTTCCAAAGATTGAATGGCTTTGCTTAGTTTTGTGTGTGGGTTTTTTGTTTTTGTTTTTGTTTTGTTTTGTTTTTTTGAGACAAGGTCTCACCCTGTCACCAGGCTGGAGTGCAGTGGCATGATCTCAGCTCACTCAACTATTATAAC